CATCCACATGATAATAAACAGGACACCCTAATAACATTCAGCCCATACACCGTGGGCCGTGGGCGTTGCCCCCGCACCCCCACCGGGGCGTTGCCCCTGGACCCCACTCGCTAACTGGACAGCAAGACCCCCGATTACCAGTCGTAGCGGCTGATAGTCCGATTCAAGTCACATCAACAAAATACTAATTACTCACAAAATCTGTTAAAATAATAATTACTCACATTCGTAAACCAATGGATTTTTATCGTTTTAGAAACTTTCATGTGTAATTGTACTAACATGAGGGTAATGTCCCCACTGTCCACTGATATAGTTAGTCACTCTCTTGTCTCTGGTCAACATTGAAAGTTGTTACTTAGTCGCTTTATTACGATCGCTAGTCACGTGTCAATACTTTAAATAATCCCGAGTTTAATGATATTGTTGCCCAAGCAACTCAATAAGAATTCTAAGTAATTGACTGAATTACGGCAATGAGAATGACTGAGATGGTGATATTAAGAACTTAAGTGCTAGTATTAATCATAATGAATTGATGAGTTCACTCTTAATTATTAACCAGAATAGGAAATATGTGTTTGGGTATTATCTAGGACATGCATTATTGATATCATCTAGTGTTTTAAGTGTTAGTATCTACCTGAAATTTAAAAAATTTACGATTTTATGATTTTAATCTACGGTTTTGATTTCACGCCATTTTAAATTTCATGTAATCACAATTTTGACTACACTAATCACGCCCACGAGACTTACATACTGGAGGAGCTCGAGTTGCTAGGGGAGGCAGAGATCACTAGACTCTGTTGGCTGATAAATGTTGCACCAAGATCAAGTTGGTTTATAGCCCGACGTGAGAAGAACATTTCAGTAGTTGATGATATTCAGAGAGAGAACCATTTCTTTGTCAAGATATTGAAGTGTGCTTTTTGAAATTCAAAGTGGTGGAGTATTTAAGACATGTCATATCTTACTAGCATGGTTGTCACGCCGGCCGGCTTGCCACCGGTTGAACCACGTGAGAAGAACATTTGCAGTAGTTGATGATATTCAGAGAGAGAACCATTTCTTTGTCAAGATATTGAAGTGTGCTTTTTGAAATTCAAAGTGGTGGAGTATTTAAGACATGTCATATCTTACTACTTACTAGGGAGTGCAAGTAAACCCCTGTAATATTGAGGAAGTTGTGGATACGAAGACCAGCAGGTCATAGAAGAGAGTTCTTGAATTCAATGTAGTCAAAATCGTATTTAAAAGTTTAAAAACTTATGATTTTACGTTTCTAGGTCACCAAAATATTTCTACGCATAATCTTCATTTTTTATAACTAATGTAGTTAAAAACGAGGGTTTGCTTCATGGATTTGAAAAATGAGGGTTTTAGTAAAACCTGGGTTTTGGAAAACCATGGATATATGATGGATTTGGTGGCATTATGGATTCGAACAAGTCTATTGTTTGCTTGATGGATTTGATTATGGACTTTGTTTGATTAGATTTGTGGATATTAAATACAAATTACCTAGTTACCCTTATTTAATTATATTTCTATATTATAATCCAAATCCTTCATTTAAAACTAATCTAAAACATAAAAAGAAATTTTAAACTCTTTACCACTATGTGGATTAATAATTCAACTACAAATATAGAAATGTATTACAATTTGGCACTAATTAACAATTCATCTTGGCACTAATTAAAAATTCATCTAATAATCCTTCATAAAGAAACAATTCATCTAATAATGTACGCAATATTATGTATCAATTGCAGCCAATTGCTCGCTTTATTGCTACAACTCATCATCTTCATGCTAACTCACCGATATGGAATCCGACAATCAATCAAGTAATAATGTAGAAGATGAGCATAAAGTGTTTCTAGGTGAATCTAACAAATCACATATACATTCATATTTAAATAAAATACGATATTACAAAATGAAATGATAAATTCTCATATTTATAAAATACGAAATTATAAAAGTTTACCGTTGCATGACCATTGAATTAAAGTAGGACAAATTTGTAATTAAAGAAATAATCATGGATTTTAATCCATCACCCAAATTCCACCTCAAGAGGTGGAACTTCCAAGTCCGTGGGGTCCACGGATCTGGAACCCCAAAAGTGGTGGGGCCCACAAATTCCATCTACCTAATTCCCTCAAAGCCTGTTTGGATTGACAAAAAAGTAAGGAATTGGAATTCCATTTCCAATTCCATTTCCATATATATTATGTTTGGAATAATAAAAAGGTTGAGAATTGAATTCCAATGAGTCTAAAATATGGGAATTACAATTCCTATCAAAAGTGATAGGAATTGACAGCCTGTTTGGATTGACAAAAAAGTAAGGAATTGGAATTCCATTTCCAATTCCATTTCCATATATTATGTTTGGAATAATAAAAAGGTTGAGAATTGAATTCCAATGGGTCTACAATATGGGAATTACAATTCCTATCAAAAGTGATAGGAATTGAGAGAATGAAGATGGAATTAGTGGGACCCATCAATACTTTTTATTATTTTGTTGACCCACTATCATTTTACTCTCTTTCTCTCTCATTCATATTTCATTTCCCAAAATAAAACAAACATATTACATTATTCATTATGGTTAAAAGTGCAATTCATTTCCATAGTTGTAGGAATTATACCAAACACTAGAATTGGAAATGGAATTCTATAAAAATAAAAAATTGAATTTCATTTCCATTTCCATTTCTTCCGGAATTGTATCCAAACAGGCTGTGAGAGAATGAAGATGGAATTAGTGGGACCCATTAATACTTTTTATTATTTTGTTGACCCACTATCATTTTACTCTCTTTCTCTCTCATTCATATTTCATTTCCCAAAATAAAACAAACATATTACATTATTCATTATGGTTAAAAGTGCAATTCATTTCCATAGTTGTAGGAATTATACCAAACACTAGAATTGGAAATGGAATTCTATAAAAATAAAAAATTGAATTCCATTTCCATTTCCATTTCTTTCGGAATTGTATCCAAACAGGCTGTAAGGCAAACGATGGATTTCGGTTCAAGTCCATGATGGATATATTTTCATGACCAAATCCATCACCAAAACCTTCAAGCAAACGACCAAAGTTTAAAAACTTACGATTTTACGCTTTTATATTATCAAACCACTTCTACGTAGAAACGCGCTTTTGACTACATTGCTTGACATATTGACAAGTCTCAAAATAACGATAGGGTCTAACAAAAAAATAAAGAAGAAGAAAATGATGATTAGAATAGTACTAAAAGTTTGTTTTGTTTCAATTTGGTCTCATTGAAATTTAATTTTGGCAATTTTTTTCTTCATATTTGAAATAATTCATGAATTATCAGAAAATCAAACGAAACCACACAAGAGCTAGAAGCAAGGGGAGCCACCTGATCCCCCCCATCTTCCCCGACAATTGAATTTTTCCTCCTGAATCTAATGCTCTCCCTTCTCACTCTTTCTGCATTTCCACCCTTTCCTGTAACAAGAAAACAACAAAGAAAAACTTCGCCCTTCATAGTTTACAGGAGAAAGAGGAGAGCAAAAAAAAAAAATTACAAACAAAACAAGCATTCTTACATGAGGAAATTGTGCCCAAACATCGACAAAGACGACGGGCTCGAGACGGTCCTCGAGATCCCGATCCCTGAAGAGATGTTCACCGGCATGGGAAGCAACACCACGCTGCGACTGCAGAACATGCTCAGCTGGATGAGAGCACAGACTTCCGACAAATGGTCCCAGCCCGTCATCGCCAGCCGGATCAACGAGCTCCGCTTCCTTCTCTACCTCGTCGGATCTCCCCTCATCCCTCTTCAGGTTCAAGTCGGCCACGCCGTCCACAAGGCCGTCCGAGATTCATCCATTGTCAGAGAGTTCGATTTCCTCGCTCGTTGTTTTATTTTATTTTTTTCGTTCAGGCATTTCGTCGAACACTTTCGGTGCTGATCGTTCCCTACTTGTTGTTGTTGTTGTGGGTTGCGCATGCAGCAAGCGTCGACGGCCAAGTACATCTTGCATCAGTACATAGCTGCGACGGGAGGCCAGCCGGCGCTGAACGCGGTGCACAGCATGTGCGTGATCGGGTCGGTGAAGATCTGCGCGTCGGAGTTCCATCAAGGGGACCAGACCATCAACGTGAAGAACACAGAGGAAGCCGGCGGGTTCGTCCTGTGGCAGAAAGATCCGGACCTGTGGATCTTGGAGCTGGTGGTTTCCGGGTGTAAAGTCATCTGCGGAAGCAACGGGAAGCTCTCCTGGAGGCATTCTTCCAACCAGCAAACCCCAATTTCCAGAGGATCTCCCCGCCCACTCCGCCGCTTCCTCCAGGCAATCACCAATTTCCCCACCATTTCCCGTTTTCCACCCCCCAATTTCTAGCGATTCGTCATAATCCCTTTTTTTTCTAATTTCAGGGGTTAGATCCGAGGTCGACGGCGAACCTGTTCGCCGACGCGACGTGCATCGGGGAGAAGATAATCGACAACGAGGATTGCTTCATACTGAAGCTGGAGACGAGCCCGGCGATCCGAGAAGCGCAGAGCGGGCCCAACTTCGAGATCATCCACCACACGATTTGGGGCTACTTCAGCCAGAGGTCTGGGCTTCTGGTCCAGTTCGAGGACTCCCGGCTGCTGCGGATGAGGACCAAAGACGACTACGACGTCTTCTGGGAGACCAGCATGGAGTCGGTGATGGAGGATTACAAGTACGTCGAAGGTGTCAATATTGCCCACAGCGGCAAGACCAGGGTCACAGTCTACCGCTACGGCGAGCAGTCGGCGAACCACAAGAGGGAGATTCGGGAGACTTGGAAGATCGACGAGGTCGATTTCAATGTCTGGGGACTGACCGCCGAGAACTTCTTGCCGCCGGCCGATCTGGTTGTTACCCCCAGTAAAAAGAAGGAGAAAAAGGAGAAGAAAGAAAAACACAAGAAACATAAAGAGAAGAAGGAGAAGAAACACCACCGGTGATAATTACTTTTTTTGTTTTCATTCTTTTGATTGATTCTCACTCTTACCGTCTTACACAAGTTAACTAGCTGTAATTTGCGTGCGTCGTTTTGACAAAATGATCAGGGCGCAAGCTGACAATGTTGTGCCGTTTTGGTAATACATAGCTTTATGTTTTAGGATTTTTAGAGTACTTCGATCAGTTATTAATAACAGGCCAGCACTACTCTTCAAATACAGCCTGAGGGCGCTTGCAGCCAATGTCCTGCAACAGAACAACATTCAATCTTGTAACGGCTTTAGTGAAATCCCCAATTCCTAAACAATGTCTAATCACAGCGACTCGAACTCAAACATAGGACGGTTCGTGTTTCGACACCATGAGAAAGGATCATCCTTGAAAGCAGCACGACGTTTGTACTCAGAAGGAGATGAGATCGTCCTTGGATGATGATGATGATGAAGGTGGCTTCTTTGGGTCTTCCGATGATGTGTTGGTGCCGCCTTTCTTCCCAAATATCATTTCGTCGAGATCATCCATCATGTCATCGTTGCTCCCCTCCCCATGTGCCCCGACCCGTGAGCCTGCTGGCTTTCTGATCAATGCATCTGCTTCTTTTGCATGAGTTGGGGAGTCCTCGGCCTCGACTGCGACTGGGATCATGGCAGGTTCAGGTTCAGAATGCACCGCAGATGGCCTCTCCATCTCTTCGTACTTGGACAGAGCTTTCAGAATCTCGTCGTTAACATTTAAAGCTTCAAAAAGCAAGGCCTCGTTGTCCCCTGCCGTCTCAATGATTCTTTGGACAGTCGACTGGCACTGCCGACATTGCTGGACAAGGGTACTGGTCAAATCATCCTACAAAAGCACGAGACCAAATCCCAACTCAGATCGTCATATCATACAACAATTACAATTGAAAAACAAACGCCTTGAGTCTAGTGGTAATAACACTAGGCACTAGCTTTGAACCTGTTTTGTCTAGCATCATGTATGAAAACAACATAGAGTACACAGCACAAAACATGCCAATGACACAGCAATGGATGCATTACTGAGTTGCATACATCATGCCCAACGAATTCAGAGAAGCTTACACCTTACAATGACGGCCTAAACTTCTCAATTTTCTCCAGCTCATTCAAATCGATTCAATGTTAAAGAACTCTCGTTAGCACTTAGCAGGTCTCAGTCTTGAATCACCCCAACATATAAAGGCACTCGAAGCAATATTCACTAGGTTTCAACATACAAAATAGTATAATAACAGCAGCGAAGGACATTTTGAGCAGGCATCTTACATATACAATTTAGTCCTCAATGATCTATAAGACCACCGGAGAGTACTATTTTTATATCATAACCAAAACCATACAGTGAGTATCGTGAGGGTCAGTAAGATAAAAAGTACCTTCAAAGCATCTTGTCCAGGAGATGAAGATAAAACTGTAGTGAGAAGTTCAATGCTATTCCTGGCCACATCAAAAGCTTCCTTCGTTTGCTCAGCAGTAAGGCTTTCAACAGCAACTTCATGATGAGTCTGCTCTGCCAGATTGGCATCCACTTCTGGTGCTGAAATGGAACGAGGAGGGGTGAAGATAGGTACCAAACTCTCATTGTCACGACCAGGGAACCGGATGCCCCTAGATTTTAAGCTCTGCACAAAAGGAGGAATTCATGAAAACCCAAGCAAAATACAGCTCAGGGTATATGTAAGATGAGCTAATAAACCTATGACTCTGAACGAGCCAATGCCATACAAGAAATAAGAGCTGTCAATGAGGAAATAAAACATGCAGCAGGAAACAAGTAAAGGAATTTTCAGGTAAGAGCCCATTGTCAGAAAAATAAGATTCTTTCCAGTCAGGACACTTTCTACACCCACTCTGAAATTCCAAAACATGATTTCACTATTGTTAAACCCAGTTGATGTAGCCGATCTTCTACTGTTTTGATCCTCTAGCTACTAGAGTATCAATGTTAAGATTTATAATTCACTAGAAAGCATGCAAACTCTACCATGTAGCTGTAAATCTTCTGTTCCATACAAAATTAGATGTGAGCCAAGGAAAAGTAAGATCAAGAACTCATCATTATCCAGGTACTGATCTCAAGAAAGAGAGTAATAAGTTCTCAGTTAAAAATAACAGAGGGAAAATGAAAAGATTACTTGAACATATGCCCAAATGGATACCTTGTATGTTTCTTCATAAACAGGCAGATACCGTAGCTCACTGCTTGATTCACCCCAAGCTTCAATCAGGATCAAAGCCTTATTGCGGTTGTTAACAACAGTCTGAGGGTCATCAATCAGCCGCACCATCTCGTCAAGAACCCTCTCAGCTGCCACTTCCGAGAACGCCTTTTCACAATTCTTGACGCATGTTTCGAGTAACACCAAGGCCAAGTACTGAACCCTAGCACTCTTCACCATAATCCTCTTCTTTATACCACGAACCAATTCCACGCTATTGATCTTTTCCTGATTTATCATGTCACATATTTCTAGGTTCATGGCCCAATCGGGTTCTTCAAGCGTCTCTGCAGTAGCTTCCTCAACAATTTTATCCGTTTGATTCGGACCTTGAAACAGCTCTTTCATCTTGAAGCTCATAGAACTCATCCCAGCAGTCATTTTTCGACCCATCTCCGCACCTCCAATCTTGAGGCGTTCACCAAAAGCACTCACCTTCTCCAATAAATCGTCACTCATCTTAGAAGCCTAATTGAAAACAAAAAGAGATCAGCCACCCACTCATCAAATAACACCCTCGTTGTCGGTCAATTGTAAGTCAATTGATGAACCAGCCCAGAAGAACGGTCAATGCAAGGAGGAGTACCAGGAAATTGCAAAAAGACGACCCACTAAGAAGCTACAATTAGAAAGCGAGGAGATCAATAAATTAGAGCTCTGCAAGCAGAACCCTTGTTCTCAGTTTACTTCGAAACAAAAAAAAAGGCCAAACTTTAAGGCGATCGGACGCGATAACTGATCGGCCGGCAGATCAGGGAAAGCCAATCAACCATCCAAGTCAAAAAAAGGAAAGCAGAGATCTATACCTTACGAACAGCCGAGGAGGAAATTTGAGGCTGTAGATGGAGTTGATGGTAGTTAGTATGAAGACGAAGAACAAGTCTTCCTGGGAGTTGCAGTCTGCGCGTTCTCTCGCGTAAAAAAAGGAAGGACCAACAGCAAGAAACGAAATGCTGGGCAGGGAAGAGGAGATCATTCCTCGAAAGCGATTGAAACAGCTTTGGGCCGCATAATTTTCATTTTCTGGTCCAAACTCCAAACCAGCGCACAGATGGACAGAAAGCAAATGGACCCGAAGTTATGGACTTTGTTCAAAGGCCCAAATTCGTAAGTGCTAAAAGTAGGGCTGCAAATGAGCCGAGTCGAGTCGATTTTTACCCTAGTTTGGACTCGGCTTGTTAATAAATAAGTCGATCTCGAGCTCAACTCGTTTATTAACGAGCCTAATCGAGCTCGAGTTAGCTCGTTAAGTAAAATCTTGGCTCTTGTTTGATACATGTGATTAATGTTATCATGATTAACTAATCTCATGTTATCGAAGAAATCTATGATAGATAATTTCTTTTTAAATTTTACGATAAGACATATTTTCTCACATAGTCAATGTGTTGAACATCATATAGGGTGAGATATAATTTTACAATCCTATGAATTATCAAAATTCAACTCATAAGATCATAGATCGATTGACTCATGAGTCGGTAGGCGAGTTGGTTGTCTAACCACAATGTTGAGATATATCATGACCTCTAAACGAGCAGTGCACGAGTTGAGCTCAACAAGCCACTGAGTCGAGCTAGCTCGCGAGCCTCGCGATCTGAATAAGGCTTAGCTCAATCTCGACTCATTAACAAACGAGCAGAGTTTCAAACGAGTTGTTTTCGAGCTGAACACCGAGCCTCTCATGAGTAGCTCTGCTCATTTGCAGCCCTAGATAATACTAGTAGAGAAATAATTCACTTCCAATCTTAAGTTTGTCAAAATTCACTTGCATAACCATAACTATTGATCTTGTGACAATAATAGCCAATTCTTGATAAATACACAAAATATCCAGATCTTGGAAAGAAGTTAGATAAATTTAGCACTTTCATCAAAAGTAAGACCTGTTGTTCGATTCTTATGTTACCTTTTCTTCATCGTCAATGCAGACTTTAACACCTTTAGAGATTCCGCCTGTTACATTAACAATACACTTACAAAGAAGCCACCTTGACGCACATATCAGTGACAACTCGACATGTCATGCCTCGTGGATGTCACATCATACTTTAATGGAAAAATACACATGTATAGCCATAAATATTGATTTTGTGACAATGTCAATAATAGCCAATTATCACAAAATCAATAAATAGCAAACTATAATTGCTAAAATGTAGTTATTTTCTCTCTCCCTCTCTCCCTTCCCCGAGCTAGGGTTTCGCACGCTACGGCGGCCTCATCGCCGGTGGCTGATCTAGCTAGTGAGGGTATTTCTTGGCCCCAGTTGTTTGCCGTTGCACCGGAAAATCGTCTTTGATTTCATCCTTTGGAGCATATCACCGATGGGTTCGGGATTCCGAAGGAAGTAAAAGAGCAGGGCGAAATTTGATGGAAAAACAGTCTTATCGGACAATTTGTGGTGAGATTCCTTGAATTCCAGAGCTTTAGAGCTTGGCCAATCACCTGTGAGGAAGAAACAGGTCGATTCGAGTCTCCAGATTTGGATTGCAGCTTTTGGTTTTCCACTTCTCGTCCCTGGGGACGAGTGAATGGCTATTCAAATTGGGTCCGTGGCACTTTCAAGGGAACACGATATTCTTTCGCCAATGGTGTCAGGGCATCCAACCTGTGGAACCCAAGATAGAAACCCTAACTATCTAGGTTCATTTCAGTGGCTTGCCTCTGGAGTACAACTATCTTGATGGTCTGGAATGGGTTGCGAGCACGGTTGGGATGCCGCTTCACATGGATCACTCTACTCGTATGGGTGCTCATCAGGGGTGGCTCGTGCTTGTCTAGAGATGAGCGCGGACTCAAATTTCCCAAGTTTAGTTCGATTTTACCCTGATGTGGAAACAAGTTTTGAGGTTACTACGGAGTATTGAGTATAGTAACCTTCCTCCTGTCTGTTCAATGTGTGAGGTCTTCGGGCACAATTGTGATAGTAAACATCCTAATAGGAAGATTTGGGTGCCAAAAGAATGATGGCAAACATAGTGTTGTATTTGGGGTTATGGAGGATGCAAGAGGCAAAGATGAGGGGATTGTAGTGGTACCTCGCAAGGATAAGAAGGTTATACTGGTTGATTCGAAATCCGGAGGGGATATTAGGAGTGGGATGGAATTGAGGTAGAGATGGAATTGATGATCTGGTACCTTCTTTAATGGGTGTTATTATGAGTTTAGCATAAGTTGTTCGTGGGTTAGGGGTGGGCATCGGTTCGGTTCGGTTCAAACCAAACCGAACTAAGCATACCGGTACCCTAATATAACTCAAAGTTGAAACCGATCCCGAACCGAAATATATTTCGGTTCGGTCTGGCCGAACTGAAATATATCTCGGTTCGGAACTAAAAAACCGACGAACCCGACTTCTCTCCTTGCTTTCCCTACTTCATTTTCTCATTGAAGACCCACAGCACAAAAATCAAAACCCAATCTTCCTTCTCCCTCTCCCACCTCCTCTTCTTCCTTCTCCCACCCCCCAGCAGCATCAGAGTTCAACTTCGCCCAGAAGCAGTCGCTGGTCGCATTCCCCAGCCCAGAGGAAGCATCACCGCCATGGCCGCCTCCTCGAGAAACTTTCTTCTAAATCGTCAGATCTGACGCCGGCGAAAGGATAAATCATGCTTCACTCCCTCCGCCGCCGTGGTCGCACTCAGCTCCCTCCGCTGCCGTGGTCGCGTTCAGCTTCCCCCACCGTCGTGGTCGCGCTCAGCTTCCCCCGCCGCCGTGGTCGTCCTCTCCCACTGCGACCCTTCCACTTCCCGTCGCCTGCATGTGGCTGTCGACGGCGTGATTGGATTGAAGGGGATGCATATTGGGTGTGGCTGGGAGGTGATTTTGTTGGAGACGAGCTATTTCCACCAGAATCTCCATCAAATCTGCCAAGTCTTCTCTAGTCTCCTTTCTCTGCCGGCGGCGGCGATTGCTGCATGTGAGTGATATGATTGAGAGTGGTTAGTGGTGAGGTTTGGTCTGGGCTAGGGTTCCACTAACAAATGTAGAGAGGGAGGGCTTGGGCTTTGGGGTTGTGGGCTCTGGGATTGGGATTTGAGTGTGTGAGATTGGGCTTTGGGTTGTGGGCTATGAGTGTGAGAGTTGGGGATGTTCGGTTGCTCGGTTCGGAATCGGAAACTCGGTTCGGTTGGCCAGATCCTGGTTTCCGAAATATAGGTTTTTCAGTTCCGAATTCCGAACCGAATAACAAATCTTCGGTTTCGGTTCGGGTTGGCTCGGTTTCGGTCCGGTTCAGTCCGAGTTTACCGAACCGGATGCCCACCCCTATCGTGGGTTACCTAGGCAAACAGGGAGCTCACTAGCCTCTCTGGCACCACCTGATCCTGGGGAGTTAGCAGCATGTTGTGCCTGGAGGTCCTCAACGCAGGTAGTTGAAGCATTTCAGGATCCACTATATTTTCAAATGGCAAAGGGTTTTCATTCCCCGGTGAACAAGAAATGGGGTAGAGGCGGTGGGCGTGGAAGAGGTAAGAAATGAATATACTAGCTTGGAATATTAGGAGTTTTGTAGATGATAGTAAGTTTACTGCTTTACTTAAAGTTATTTGACAAAATAATGTTCATATAGTAGCTATTTTAGAGCCCCGACCCAGAGCAAGCAAAGCTGAAAAGGTGTTGGAAAAGAGGTTTCCGAATTGGGAATCCAAGATTTGTTATGAACTCTTTTATGTCTGTTTTCTTGGAAGGGGAAAGGCTATCGTGGGGAAGAAGAAAAAGAAGAAGAAGTCTGTTGGGAAGGGGTAGAGAATAAGGGAGGTTTGGGTTGGCTGGTAAGGAGATCTAAACAAGAAGAAGTAAGCCCCTGTTTTTCTAGCAGGAGGGGTCACTATTAGGCCATTTGGTGGGAGGTTTGAATTGGTTGGTCAGGATATATTGTGTGTTGTATTTTTCTTATTGTTAGTTGAGTGGCCTAAATCTGGTCTGATTTGACCAGTCTGGTTCGATCGAGATTGAATCTGGCTCGAGTTTGGCTAGGCCTGGATTTTGGGGTTTGAACTAAGTTGCTATTGCAAACCTTAAACTGAGACTAAATTTAAGTGATTAAAAATGTTTTAATCTGAACCAAGGTTGTTAAACCCCTATCGGACACTCGGTTGGACCCGATCCGACCTAAGTCGGGCTTCAAAACGACCTCCAGAAAGCCCCTGGTCCGACCCCTAAAGAGGGAGAAGAAGAAAGGGGGGAGAGAGGAAGAGGAACGAAGAAAGGGAGATAGTGGGTGGGTCATGGAAGTTATGTAGATTTATTTTGTGAAAAATAAGTTTTTAATAGATAAATGTAAGATAAATTTCATTTCAGTTATTAAATCTTTAATTACTATCTTATTTGTCGGTCGGACCCCGATCAAACCATTAATCCTCAAACCCCTTTACTTGACCGGTTCAATAACTTAAACTGGTTTTACAACCTTGATCCGAACAAAAAATGGTGTCTACACCGTAAAAGGAGACTGACGGCAGGTAACGGTCAATACCAAACTTGAACGGTTGAACTGATTCAGTAACCAAAAACAGAATAAAATATTTTTAATACAAACCTGGAACTTGTTAGTAATCCCATTGACCAAATTTGTAATTTACCCAATTCGAAAATCAGCTAATGAACAATTGGATCAAAACGCAAGCAGGTGGTGTCGTTCCTTGTCGGTTTGAAGTTCGGGCGAATGGAGCCCGGAGGAAGTTGGAACGTATAGAGCTTGTTGTCTGGCCTGGCCCATCAAAATCAACGGTCATCAGGTTCTCTCTGGGATACGCACCACATGCACCTCCAATAATAATTAAATATATTAAATCCAGTAAGTACGGTGGCACCGCCGAACATAAATAAAATTTAATAATAATAATTAACGACTCCCCTTTTTTCCTCAGCTCCCCCGCTTCGCTCTTCCTTCCACAGTCCCGTCCCTCCCCGCTGCAAGCAATCTAACCCCAAAAGGAAACAAAGGGGGAAAGAGAGAGCACCATATCGATCTGACAGACTCCGATTACTGACACTT